AAAACAATAACGATAGTACAAAAATTAACACAGAACTGGATAATTAACTTAGCTCCTCATTAGCAGAATAGTCAGTGAACTGACTTTTCTAAAAATAAAGTTTTCCATGTTTTTTTTTACTCTAACCTCCCAGTTTTTTCTCTTATGTACTTATTAGAGAAGAAGCATGAATTTCCTTTTAAAATATGCTGATGCCCTACGTCTAATTTATATTTGCATTTTTTTCATAATTTCATATGCAACTAAACCAAGTTCAAATTTTGCTTTTTTTTTTTTTTTTTTTTGTAAAACGGGGGGCCTGAAGGCAAATGATAATTTTATCAGGTGATTAATTTGCACAGTGAAATCACTTAAATATTAAAACTAAAAAAAAAATGAAATTCATAAACTACTGAAACTGGAAACCTTCAGTGCTTAGAAAACATATTTTTGCGACTGTGTGCAATTTCAAACTATAATCAAATATTTTTTTTTAAATCTTACTTTTGGACAGGTTGCTTCAGCATCTATTGGTACAGAACTTGCAGATAAAGACCCTTTAAAAATTATTTTCAGCCTCATTCAAAATCTTCATAACACCTTTTGCTTTTGTCCTGGAGTTGATACACACTTTAGGCACTTCAACATATTTATCTCTAGGATCCAGAACTGGTTTTCTTTCTCAGTCATTATGCTAACTGGAAAATTCCCCATAGTGTTTATTTGTCTATATCTGGGCTTTCCCAAAATGCTTAAGGGTGTCATAAACTTATTTCTTTAAATAAAGCAGACAATTCAAATCAATAGAACCAAATGATACATGATGGTAGAGAATGAAGAAGGAATACACAAACCTAAAATAAATAATTTGTGCTCGCCTCGTTACCATATCTCCCTCTTCATTGCTGTGGTTTCACAGGAAGTCTGAACCAGTTCTTCACACTGCTAATTAAAAACAAGCAGATAGGGTCTTAAACACCCAGCATGTCACCAATACTTGTCTTGCATTGGCAGAGTATGGACTCCTTTTAACCCACACAAGTTGTGGCACTTATAAAAACCCATAAAACACAAGATCGTTAACCACACCAAACCATTAAAGCTGTCCGGCATAAACAAGGCAAAAGGTAGTACGGATCTGAATTCACAAGTGCAGTAAAAAACAAAATTGGGCTCAATGACTTTGCCTCCAATTACAGTCTCTCTAATCAACTGATTTGCTGAAAAACAAAATCATAAGTGCACTCTTTCTAATATGTAGTTAAACCTTTTGTGCTTACTCTTTAAGTGTTCCATTAAACACTAGATTAAACAGGCTCCAAAATGTGGGAATTTGTTTATTTTGAAGTCTCAGTGAAGCACACTTAAAACCTGCTATTCAAACCTGGATTAGCACCTGGATCCCACAGCTCTAAAAAGTGTCTAAACTATCTAATTCACAATGTTTGGGTACAAATATTCATGACCTTCAGGGTAGAGCAGAGGAGAGAGGAGAGTGAAACCATTATCATCCACAGGAAGACCCTGCGTCCCCTGCCTTTTTGGTGTCTCACTTGGTAATGTTCCACCATCTCCTGCCTGTTTTCAATCCCTTTTCTGTTTTTTTTATCCCAATGATCTTGACCTTCTATCCTACTTTTTTTCTGCATCATTCTTCATTTCTCTTCCTGTGCGTGTGTGTGTGTCTGTGTGTGTGTTTGTGACTCAGGTCCCTTTACTACCCCACACAACTGCCTGCCATTCCATCTCATTTGCCCTTCTTTGCCATGATGGTTTCTGTCCGCTCTCCCTTCATCTGTCCTTTCACATACAGTCAATCTCCTAAATTAATCCGGTTAATGGCCCTGGTCTTTGTGCGACTGAGCAGTACAATCTCGTACTCACAATGTCTTATAAGCCAGTCTAGAAAAATATCTTTTTGCCATCACGCTCATACGTGAGCATACAAAACAAAAACGTAGCATTGCAACTCTCTGCTGTGCAAAAAACACTCCGGAGAAAACACAAACACTTCAAAAAACACCCAATTTGCCGTTTCAAATACCTAATGCTTCTTTTTATGAGCAGTTTCTTTGATTACACAACAAGCACCCCATGGGAATGGAAGTCTGATTTATTCAGACATTGATTTGATTGGATGACCCTTCCAGAGCACTTCATAAATTAGCAGCTGGATGAGTAAATGGCAGGGTGGGCCATTCCAGAAAGGACTTGTGGGGGATTCTGGCTTTTTCCTTAATTACCTCAGCAATCTGAGCATCTGAGAAGACACAAGGGGGATCAAAGAGCATCTCTAATAAAGTCCAGAGCTGGTACAACCCTTCTCCAGCATTTGTCTTTTTTTTTTTTTTTGTCTTTCAAATTTGACATTAAAGGCTTCTTCAGTTTGCAAGTGTATCCTTGGTTGTAGCGCAGTGCTTTTTGATCAAAAGTTGTTAATTCTACTGCATTTACCAGTGGTAAAATGTTATCTAACCCAGTGTTTTTCAACCACTGTGCCGCAGCGGCACACTAGTGTACCGTGAGTGATC